GGTAGTAGAGAATCTATGGCCAGGAAGTAATCTCTGACCCATAGAATTTTTTGCTTTTTCTTCTTTCCCTAATTTTAAAACCCATTTAGGGTTTTCTCAGTATGTGGGCCAGTGTCTGTGAGGATGCCAGTAAAACACAAAAAGGACTGAGGAACAGGCTATTTTGAAGCCATAACTACTCAGCTGTTTTCTGTTTGCTTTGGCTGTCAGAGCTGTGGTAGGTATTTCCCATTTTTAGTCTTCACACCTTTATTATGTTTGGGTTGCATGTCAGAAATATTTCAGATGCTGTGGATGGACACTTTCTCTCAGCCCAAGGAAAAATAGGTTCCTGTGTCCTATGGATTTTCCCTGTTCTAATCAGGAGACTTCACCTACCACTACAGGGGCTTACCTTTGTGATACTGGTGTTGGGGCTTCCCCTGGCTGCTGTAGCCTGGAGCAGGGACCTGTGAGCCTAAATAATTAAACTGCGGGCCTTCAAAAAAAAAAAAAAAAAAAAAAAAAAAAAAACAAAAAAAAAAAAAAAAAAAAAAAAAAAAAGAAAAAAGACAGAAAGAAAGGTAGAAGACTCTCAAACTTGATGGATGACAAAATCAGATCTTTTCATTTAAACCCACAAAAACTAACCTTCTTCTGGCTACTGCCCCTTGCAAGTCAAAGATAACTAATGCTCAGCAAAACCTGTCCAGGATTTGTTCTTGGTGGCTCCACTCCAGGGCAAGAGTGTCACTGTTACACATCTCAGCACAAAATTTTCTCACACTTATTAAAAAGCTTGCAATTCACATTTTAAAATATTTCTTATTAAAACTGCCTACAGAAAACACTTTGAAGTAGGAACCACACCAATGCTAGACTTCTGTCATGAAAATACGAGCTTTAAAAAGGAGGGAAAAGAGTCCATTATCCAGTGGCTTCCCACATCTGATAGCTTGCTGTCTGGCTCACATTGACACATCTTGTCACCACACAGATGGGTCCTGCCAGCAAAGCCAGAATATCAAGTATTAGGATTGTCTGTAACCCTCTGCAGCCCCACAAAGCAGCCCAACCACCCCAGATGGCCTTTTGCTTTTTTTCCTGTAAAACACACCACAGTAAGGGTAAACACTGCAAGTGCTGGAAGTGGAGGTTAGAGTTCAGAACAATTTCGGGATGTCAGTGCTACACTGTGCCTTTCATGCTTGATGGGGACCTCCTCAGGAGGGGCTGCTGCTGGTATCTGCATTTCACTTGCAATGTTTTAAACATTCTCTTTTGGTCCCCATTATGCTTGTCCTTGGCTAAAAAAGCTTGAAGAGTCTTCTAAAAATCAGAGGGAAAAAGGCAAAACTCCATGCTGTAGCCCTAACTGGCCTGACTGGCCTGCATCAGCTTTCTTCTGATAAAAGCTAGCAACACATGTTAATTAAATACAACTTTTTTTCCTTTTATCTTTTTTTCCTTCCCTTATTTTCCTGTTTCCTGTCTAGCTCTCCTTCCATCTTCCTTTATTATTTTATTTTATATTATTTTATTTTCTCTTTACTTTCTGCCTGTGATTATTTTTCCATCTCTTTCTCCTTGTTCCTAGCATTTCTCACAATCTTCTCTTTATTGCTACTACATTTACTTGCATATCAACTCTTTCACCATGCCCTCTCCTTTCATTTTACCTTTCTATCACTCCTTTTTTTTTTCTCTTTTTAAATGGTCCTATCTCTTTTCCACTTTCTTATTTTCCATTTCTATTTTCAGTAATGTATTTTAGAAAATGATATTTTGATCAACTTCTTCATTTTTCCTCTGTAGCAAACTAGGTTAAATTCCTGCTTTTTTCCTGGAGGGAAAAAAAAAAAAAAAAAAAAAAGACAGTGAAAAGTTAGTGGAAAGATGTACAATGCAGAGAGGATGTCAGTGAAAAATACTAGGTTAGCTCACTAGCAATGTAGAAATTGTCTAACACAGTTTTTTTTGTTTTTTTTTTTTTTTGCAAAAGCCATCTTTTCAACATAACAACAATCCTTGTATTTATTTTTGGGCCAGTTAGAAGCTATTTCTTACAGTATTCTGAAAACACCTTCTAATTAATACAGATAAAACAATGTTGTTTTCTCTGGGGTGTTTCCTGCTAGTTCACTTATAACTGAAGAGTGAATTTGGAAGCACCATTTGTGGCATTCAGTGTCTAGAGTGGAAGATTTTTAGGACACTGATAACTCTTAAGTACACTTTATAGGAATTATACCTTAGCTATGATTTTATAGCTATTTCCTTCATAAATGGAACAGTAAATTGTTTCTGTGACTGCTACAAATGCCAGAATGCAACAGGAGGCAGAGAATCACTACTGCACCCTTGATATGCTCTCTTCATCTTTCACAGTGCCAAAAGCTGGTTTGGCTCTGTGTCATTCTCTTCAATGATATTTCACAGATACTTGTGTTTTGAGCAGGGATGGCTAATCATCAAATGTTTTAACTCAGGGTAGCATTAGCACTGCAAAATCAACCAAGCGTTTCCCTGCAGTCTTTCTTGAAAGACGTCCACTTCACCTCAGGCATCAAAGAAAATTCAAGCAGCAGTAGTTCACAGGGGCTCTCGCCCTTCTGGGGTGCTGCTAAGCCTGTCTCCTTGTGCAACCTGTCCTTTCTTTCCCAGGTGATCCCTCCTGGCAGCACCATTTCACTGGGTTTCACTAGGGGAGCCTACTAAATGTAACCATGGAAATTCAATAGCTTTAAACTGCAACTTGAAGCAGCGACCACCAAGGGCAATTTTGTCTGGTTTAGTGGAGCTGGCTTGTAAAATCACAGCCATTTCCCAAACCAGCTGTGAAACCCAGTGACAGCAAATTCTGATCTGCTTACAGTACCTTCCTCAGGGAGTGCTCTGCCTGCCGTGACAAAAGGCACTGCTGTCTCCTCCACTTGTTTAAAGACAGTAAGGATCACACCCCATGTGAACACACACTTGGGGAAAAGAGGAGCTATCTTGCTGGATCCTTGTTCCTGGCCTGCCTCCATGTCTTCTGGCCCTACACTTGAAAAGAGTGGACAGTTCTTGGGCAGCAGCGCTCTCGACCAAAGCAGTTCAAAGCTTCTGTGAGGGACTGCATACAAAAAGTTTCTGAAGTTTCCTGTTAGCTTGTTAGTCACAATATTTTTAGGGTTAATCAGCTTCCATTGAACTCCCAACTTTGACATTAACTTGACTGAGACCAGAATTTAATATCACTTTACAAATAAGTAATAATTAAATTCCTTGACCACAACATGCATACAATCACAGTACTGATAAACTGCAATTAAAAATGCAGTAGCAGTAAAAATTTATAGGCACTTGACTTTGAAAGATACAAAATTTTTACTGCAATAATTTCAGAAGTATGGAGCAGAATAAAATGACTATCAGTTCTTCCATACTTGTTCAGGCAGGTTGGGAAGTTTTCCATAGCGCTAGATTTAAGAGCAGACTTGCTTTTTAAAGTTGATAGATATTTGTCTTTTAGTTTTTACGGTCTGATGTGTGCTAACAGCCAATAAATGAAATAGGAATATTTCCAATTAATTTTCTTTTTAATCTACTTATCTCCTACTTATCTCCTCACTACTATAAAGTAAGTTCAGATCAAATATGGTGCAGAGGCACAGCAACATAATAAAGCATTGCCAAGCATAACAAGCTGCCTTTCAAGGTACATTTTTCTTTAGTGAGTTTTCTGCAGCCAAGAATAGAATTAAGAGAATGGGAGAAAGACAGAGAAGGGCAATTAGCACATTTGACTCAAATATAAGCAACCCACAAAATATGTTATTAATCAGGCAGATTCCCATCATCCTACTTATCATCTTGGGCCACACTGCATGTGGTTTCTCCCCAGATGTGCAGGATATTGAAGAATACATTCTAGAACTACACACAACAGCAAGTCTCTCAGGACATATAAGTGGGACCTATGAACCCCCCTGGCAAAGACTGTAACTCTCAGCATGCTGCATTTCTCACAGCTCACAATTAAATTGCAGTACTGATACTGGAAACCAAACTGGATTCAGAGGAGGATTAGACAATTTGGAGATGGTAGATGTGTTACTGGGTATTACCCATAATGTCCAAGATACATCTATTTCAGAAACTCCCTCAAATGTTGACACAATCTGGAAAGAAGCTCCAGGGAGGAAACACTGGTTATATGACCTGGTCTTAAGTTTTTCCCAAAGCACCATGCAACAGCAGCAAGAGGACGTGGGCCAGATGGCCTGTTGAACAGACATAGCTCTGTGTCTAAGTAAAGAAATCAATTAGTCTTCTGTTTGTTTATTGCCTTCCTTTACTCACTGCCATTTCAGGCTGCACTCCCTTCTTGCTCTGGTGTGGAAAAGATTTTGCTATCAGTAAGGGGTTATCAGTTCTTTATCAGTAGGCTATCAAAGGTTATCACACATGGGCCAGAACCTTTGATGAAGGCAAGAGAGTTTTACCAGAAGAGCATCTGAAGCAATAGTGGACTGGATAAATGTGGGTTGGACTCTATTTATTTATTTATTTTATATTCTAGATGCAGATGTCAGTGACTTTATTTTAAAACTTCCTACATACCTTTCCTCCCAAATTTAAAGAAATAAAGTGACTGGACATCACTCATTTTAACTTCCCAACATTGCAAGAACTGAAAGCTTTTGCACAAGCTCTTAAAAGTTTATGTTGTTTCTCATTATAACTGCTAATACTACATGATTGGCTTGTTAATATAGCTAACTCACCAGCAGCATTCACATTAATTTTCACCTTTTACTGTGTAATGGTAGTGCTATTTATTAGCCAGACAGACCATTTTTAGTAATGTTATAGGAAGAGAGTGTGCATTACACAAAACTAGATTACACCTGCAGCTGACCATTTCTATATTTATGGCTGTCTGACATCTGTAATGAATGGCAAATGGAAAATATTTGTTTTTTACTTTGGCTCAGTAATTTTTTTTTATGTTTTAAAAATAAAAGTGAAGTGAAATACCTGGCTTTAATTAGGGATTTTAAATATCTTCAGGTCTCTTGCCTAGATGCCCTGGAGAAACAGAACAGATGCTTAGGGCAGTACACAGGAAAGAAATTGTTAGCCAACCTCAACCAGCACTGGAAAAGTTGACTGAAAAAGCACAGTTTGCATTACAGTTCAATTTGTAATTGCATCCAGCCCCTTTTTCTTCAAGTCTCAAGTCCCATCATTGAGTGGGTATAACTTTAAGATGAGGAATTTACCATGTATTTCTAAGAGGATCAAATGTTTTGCAAATTTTATGACAAACTGGAGGGTTTGAATGAAGTTAGGTAGTTCCAGACATAATGTTTCATCTCACACTTATCATCTAATTATTATTGTTAACATACAGAATCTATATTTTTCTCCTCTCTCCCTCAGTCATGCAACCGTTTCAGTTATGACAAAAAGAAATCCTTTACAAACCAAATAAAATTCAGGCTGAAACTGTCTGTAGTACCAAATTCTTATCACTTAGAGATTTGAGAATTTCTGTTTAATTGTATTAAACAATAATATTTATGCAATATTTATGCAGCTGGCCACTAAAAGTCCTGAGAGGAGAGATAGAGGAATAACAATAGTATTTTTAAGAATAAAATTTTAAAGAATAGTATTTTAAAATAATTTAAAAGAATTAAAGGAATTTAAAAAGATTTTTTTAAAGAATAGGAATTAAAAAAATCAACAGATGAAATTGCACTCAGCACACTCAAAGATAAAGGAAATACATATTGAGATACAGTTTTTTGGTGAATGCAATGATCAGAGCCAAAATAGCCAGCTGTCACAAAACTGGAAAGATGGACAGTAGGTAGTCTGAGAATAATGAACAATGACTCTGGTCTCTTTCTGTCGTGAAATCAGATATTTTTGTTTTACCTTAAGGAATCCTTGATCAAGTTCAAACAAAATGATTCTCAGATTTAAGGAATAATCATATTGACTCAATTTGCATGAAGTCCTTTTCTTATTTGTAGACAGGGACTTTGTATCAAAAGTGGGCTTGTGGGCTCTTCTCTGGTCCACAGAAGGGTAAAATCTCCTTGTAAACATAGCCCCAGTGAACATTGCTTTCATGAGGAGATGTACAAAACCTTGCTTATAAAGACCTTTGTTCTTCCTGTTGCACTACCTTTGGTCAGCTGCAGGTAAAAGCATTTCAGGGAGGTCAGAAGGAGATTTCTCCACTCTGCTGGAGAGAACCCAAACCACTTGAATTAAATGGAATTCACACCAGCTCTCCAGCATCAGCATTTAAAACAAATCTTTCAAATGTCCATGATTTATTCTTCCTAGAGGCAAAACTAGGGGGATTTCCCATTCCCACATTCTTCTGGTATTCAGTAAAGAGCTTTGTAACCTACTGACAGGGCATATATCATTCTCTGTATAGATGCTGATACTACAGAGTTAGTAGATGAATGCAACCATCAGAGTCTTTTAATCACACAGAAATTTGGAAATATGTGAAATGAAATAGAACAGAACAAAATCTACCAAAAATTCCAGATTAATTGCTCCTTGAAGTTAGGAAATTTTGCTCTTTGGATTAATGAAAGACATCAACTGGCAATGTCTTGGCTTGGTTTTAATTTCAGCTGTTCATAACCTGCATTTTTAATGTCTGTTTTGGTGTGCACCATCATCTGAAGGATTTCATTGTCATTCTAATGCATGGGAGAAACATCACTTTCCATCAACTTCCTTTTCAAAACATCACATACATGTTTCCCTTTCATGTATCTGCAGCATGGAATGGGGATTTGATAGACAAGGTATTAGCAAGACTAATCATAAACTAATGAATGGAAACTCTGCCTTCATTTCATCCTGATGGGGTTGGTAGTAGGGGTGGTTCTTTTGTTACTTCTTTATGTTGTTGTTGTTGTTGAGGACATTCTTGTGGGTGCAATTAAATTAGTGCCAAATTACCTGAAATAATTTGTGGTTATTAAATAAACTGTCTCTGTTGTGGAAAGTGCATTGTTCCCTGGCATTCCAGAGGCTTCCCTATTTTTTTTTTTTTTTTTTTTTTTTCTCCACAAGAGATTGCAGCAACTGATCTCTGACAATACTGCTTTGTATATGTTGCCTCTTGGGTGGTGGAAGAAAAGACTAAGCCATGTCACAAAACTGCACATATGATCTACAGCTGGCATGTCACATTTTAACCAAAGAAAAACAATCTCATGACTTACAAAAGCTCTTAAGGAGGCATCACTTGCAAGGTTAACTACAGTGGTTGACAAAAGAGACAAGGTGCAAGCAATTACCATATTTCCGACACTGAATAGAGTAAAAAAAGTGTGTTGGTTCAGCCTGATTCTCCATTGGATATTTATTTATATCTACCTGTTTTCTTGGACTAAACTGCTTAATTTTCTAATAATAGCTATTTCTTGTTTTAGTGTAATATGAACCCTTTGCAACTTATCTTTACATTCAGATGTTTGACCGACTGGTTTTTGTAACAGAGGGAGACCTCATTTGTCAATAAATATGTGTTTTTATAAATGTAGAGCTGATTTTTTTTCTCACAAAACCTGCCTTTCTTGGTCTTTCAGTGCACAAGGATTCTGTAACAGTAATTCTTCACCATTTGTGTGTGACAGTTGCTTATGGTTCCTCTTGCTTTGCCTTCTGAGGTTATTTAGCTATCAGAGTTCTTATTCCTGGGTGTTTCACCACCTCCAATGGATTCAGCTGTAGGAATTCTATTCTCACCACATTACATTAGTGAGGGCAAACTGAGGTGTGTCTACATTGGCTAGACATCCTATATATCAATACTCACACCTTCTCCCATTTCTATTGGTCTGAGACATGAGTAACTCAACCGATATCAAATGCCACAAAGCCAACACAAAACTGACATAAATGAGAGCAGAAACAAAAGCTTACATTACACTGCAGTGTTTCTAGGGCAACTCCATTAGCATCAACTATTTGAATTGGGTTTGCTCTGGTGCAAAAGAGAATTTAGAAAAATGCTTTGCTCTAACTCGTTTCACTGCTTGACAAAACGAACTGGAAAATCCCAACTAGTCTGTCAGGTTTTTTTTACATTTCCCATAGAAAGTATCCATTTTAACACAATCAATACCTTTTCTAGACACTTGTCAATCTGTTTGGCCAAACAACATTTACACAGTCAACAAATTAAGAGATAAAAGAAGCTAATCAGGACCTCTCCAGGTACTTTCTTTCCACAAACAATGTACAGTGCTTAATTTCCTACCAGGAAATTATAGCGTCTACTGGGATTTCAAGATCTGATTAGTTTCAGAGGCTCAGGTTTTTAAAAAACCTGTAAATCAAAGTAAAGGTATAAGCACAGCAGCCACCCTATGCCTGAAATCTGGAGAAACCTGGTTACTGCAGCCCCTTGGGGAAGAATGGGACCCTCTAGATTTTTGCAGATAAGGTATGACTAACATTCTCATAAAGCTCAAAGTTGCCAGATATACACATTTAAAATAATTATGGTAATTAAATAGAGTTGCAAGCAGCTATAACTCCAGGCAACACCAGTTAAATGTAAAGAGAAAACATCTTCTGCATATGTTTGTGATTTATGTAATTACATGCTTCTACAAGCTACACACCATTCACTGGCAAAGAGCCATCTCTTCTTTCATTACAGTTTAGCCACAGTAAGTAACATACTTCATCTGTTTGAAAAGCTCCACTTAATAATGCCACCGAGGATGTATACAACGACACTGGGGAGTGAATGTGAAAAAATTAAATGTCATTTGGCTCTGTGTGTGTGTGTTAAAAATAGCTTTTCTGGGCCTGTTTCTGACGTACATCATGAATGACTCCATTTCAGACAACTAAATTACACCTTATGTCAGTAAGAAATGAGTAAAATCCAAGGTGTGTTTCGTGTATGAGATTATGTGTTTGCTCTTGAGAATGACTGCTTTTCTCAATGTAGTAATTTTTGAAAATTAAACTAGGCCATTCTTAGGCAAGTCATTACCAAATCTAGTGACTGGAGAGCAAATGAAAATGTTGCCTGAACAAAAATGAATTCAAAATTCAAGAAGCCTCCACGGTGCACAGGCTTCCCTCTGCCAACTGAAGCACATACAAAGGATTTCCCTCCTATTTCAGACATCCAGCCTCTGGACTACCCTTTCACACTCACTAGAAAATTTTAGCCCAGATGCAATTAACATTTTCAAGGAAATAAAAAGAAAATGAAAAAGAAAAAGTAAATACTTTTTTCACATTTCATCAGACTTTCATATCTTTTACTATTCAGTATCAGAATCCATTAGGTTACCTGCCAAGTGCATATTTATTCAGAATAAAAAGCACCTGACTCTTGTTCTTTTTAAGACACAACTGATTTTGCAGTTCTCTATAAAGCCTCGTTTATTCATTCACATGAAAGAGATACACTAACTACAAAACACTGTCCTAGTACAACAGTGGGTTTGTAAATGGGAGGAAATACGCTTGGTCACTAGAGATGAAATGGTGTGTCTGTAAAATTGCATGCAATTTATTATAAATATTATATTATGCTTCTGCAGTTGCTTTTCCATTTAACTGTGCAATTGTGTCTTGAACTATTTCACATTTCAAGTCACACAATCTCGAAGTTGCCATTATGGAAAATATTCCTAAATATGCTCTGCTGCCAGTGAAATAGTGCCTAAGTACATAGCTAAAAGAGACATTATATTCTATACATGATATTTACAGTATACATAATCTTGACTACAGTGTGATATCTGGGATCAAGCTGAAAATTCATTTCTGCTGAGATTGAAAATATATAAGTCATAAATATTTGTCCTTTACTCAACATTTCATTTTAATGCCAATACACTGTTACTCATAAAATACTTCCTGGCTCTTCACTGCAAGTCTAAGAGATTCCAGATTAAGATTTAAGATTTTTTTGTTTTTTCATTCTCTGCCCCCACCCAACTGCTGGAAATGATGAATTTTAGAGTTTAAGGCACTGAAAGCCAGGGGTTCTCGCCCTTGCTTTCCCCTGAAAACTTTGTTCTGTTCTCACCACTAAACTGTAAAATATATCTGCTAGAGTCAATCTGCATCTTCAGCCCATTCAGAAAATTATTATTGTTTTCCTAAAATCTCTGTATATTTTATTTAGAAAGCTGACACACCTTTTTTTCTAACTCTCTGCAAAGGAATAACATGAAATATTCCCCACACAGTTTTCAGTAGTCTCCAGATTAGGATAGCTGAGTTGCCGGTGATAGGAAAAACCAAACCTCAGTCCTTGCCCCCATTCACCATGACCTGAGACCTGCATCTGAATATTGCACATTCTGGGGCTGACTAGAATTTACTGATTACCATGGGAAGACAAAACAAAACAAAAACAAGCAAGGAAAACCCCCCAACACACAAGGCAATTTTAGTTATTAGCCATCATTAGTTAAGGTAATTTCTTTATAGATATTCCTATGATTTCTAAATAATTACCAAATCTGGATTGATTTGGAAGGAAAAAAATCTAGTCTGAAGGTGATGCTGCCCTCCTTTTTTCAGCCAACAGCTGGATGTGCAGCAGCCCAGAGGGCAAAGCACAAAGATGCAGCAACCTGGCCTCGGAGAGAGCTTGTTTTAGGTAGATTCAGGAGGCAGTGGGAAGGCAGCACTGAAGGTTGTGCTGTGGCTTGTGGGCCACAGGCCATCTACCAAGGCCAAAACTGAACAACACTGCTTGAAGAGCTCAGGAGCAGCTGTAGCCATAGGAGTCACTGCAACACTCATGTCTCTGTCCTGTGCTGACCTTAGAATGTTAGGAAACAAACTGGACTACACAGTTCTGCACATACTAGACCAAGATAATAAACTAGAAGCATGATGACCCAAGGGCATAAACCAGTTGGTGGCAAGAAATACCTTTTCCTCTGTGTGTTTGTGCCATACAATGCAGCTGTGGTGCGTGACTGAGTTCTTCATGCACTATTATAACGACAAAGTAATTGAGGTCATAACAACTTAAATTGTAGCCAAATCCATTGCATGTATACTTGGAGTGTTTGTGCTCTTTAGTCCACAGAACATGAGCTGTTACTTACAATTTCTGGCAGTGTCAACAAAACCAGTTCTTCCCTGTGGCACTGTAAGACACTGCTCAAGAGAGCTGGACAGAAGGACATGGCATAGCCAGAAATTGTGGCAATGCCATTAAGAACAGCCATGTTATCTCTGATAGTTGTCACCTTAAAACCTGTGAGAAAAAAGAATTGAGGGTGTGATTCCCAAAAAAAAATAATATGAGAATTAGGAATTTAATAAGATTTAGGTGTTTAACACTCATAGCTAAGAATAAGAATAAGAATAAGAATAAGAATAAGAATAAGAATAAGAATAAGAATAAGAATAAGAATAAGAATAAGAATAAGGCTTTGTGCTATCTTTCTTTTGGTTTGCCAGAGAAGAGAAAATGGCGCAGAAGCATGAAATCATGGCAGGTCAAAGCCTCCAGGAGTATCCTGGGCACTTTCTAACAAGCACACTGTGTTCAGGTTGAGGGGAAGTGTATGGATGAGGGGACTGGAGCCTGCAAGAAGGAACATTCAGTGGGTCTCAAATTGTTCCCAACTTACAAGCATTGGCCAGCAAAGCCTCCCAAGTAACATATTGTTTTCTTAGTGAAGACCACTTGCTTCTAGATTTTGACCATGAGAGAATAAAGGTCTGGTAACCTTGAGGGCACATTGCCATGGCTTTGTCCCTGTTATGGCAAGAGAAAGGCGGCACTTTGTTTTTACTTTTCTTTTTTACTTTGGTCGACTATACTTTTTGACTAAACCTCTGGAGATCTGAGTAATAAGAGACTTTTTGTAAATTAAGAAAGTAGCTAAATAGAGGCTTTTCAAAAGGCATTTCCCCATCATTCTTTCTAAAGGAAAGCAGGTGTTTGGCTCAAAGGGACTTGTTCTCTTGATAACTCAGTAAGAGAGTAAAACTGCATTGTCCCCTAAAGCAAAAAATAAATAACTTCAGAAAACATGAGAACTGAGTCCTTGGTGAGTAGGTGAAATGGGTGTCCGCCCTCTTGAACTAATTTATAACACCAAAGATGTCAAGTGACATACTGGATGAAGAAATGATTTGTGGCTGAGAAAAGCTTTGCAGAGATCTCAGAGGCTTGGCCAAAGGCAACTTCATCTTGATAGAAATGATCGACTGCCAAACTAAAGAGAACTGTTGAGACTCTCATCTGGGAAAAGGGGGAGAGCTGCATTTTCTGACTGTGGACCCAGTTATCCATAGCCTTTGCCAGAGCGAGGGTAAAAGCATGCCAGGCATTTAGTCTATTCATTGGGTGCCCTTTGGAAGGACATATAAATCTTAAGAAAGGGTTTCAGTACGTTAAATATATCAACTTTAGAAAACATATAACAAGCGGGTATCTAACTCTCCAGGCACTTGGCACAAAGTGGAATTTTACACAGAGGTTGTTTAAAACTTGTGCCCAAATGTGTACTTATCTGCAAAGCTTCCTTACCATCTGATTCTTCTAAGAACCCTGGTTTGCATGATCAGAGCTTTTAATTCTCACAGCAGGGTCAAGGCCATAGCCAGTTTATACAATTTAAATCAAGCATGCCAGCTTACGCATTCCAGTGTAGACCAGTGGTTACCACTTGCAGTGAGATTGCCACATTTGGGGCCAGACTTGCAGAGCACACAATCAGGCAGCTACACTGTTTTATGTCAGCAGTGGATCAGCCTGTTGGGCCAAGGCTGTGAGATGCTTTGTATCATGCACATACCCTCCTGCAACTAGGAAAGCAAATAGATATTACAACAGAGCATAGAAACACGTCCTGCGATTCAGGCGTGGGCAAAAGATGTCAGTAGTGATATAAGATTGCCAGATGTGTGATGTGGTGATTCCTTATCTATTGCAAAACAATAAATGAACAAGTTATTATTCCAGAATTAAGGGTCTAACCATTCCAGTTTACAGGGCTATAATTCAGCCTAGGGTAACATGTTGCACACCAGAGGAATTTAGCCTTTGACCTGATTAGATGCCAGAATCATCCAGTTCCATTCTACGTGTGAAACTTCACACAGCTCTAATTACTGAAGCCCCAAAGAAAAAAGCCAGAGGTGTTATAGAGCTGGCAGGTATTAAAAAGAGTCAGATGTAGCTGCTCCTTATGTTACTCTCTGCCTCCTGAGAAACAACAGCTCAGAAATCATATAGACTTTCATGGGAGGACTTTCTAAAGGTGAAAAGGTGAGATTTGATGTCTAAATCCTATCTGTGACTATGAAAATCCCTGCCTTTGTCTAGAGTTAACAGAACACTTGAGAACCTAAAGAAACATAGATTTTAATTATGATATTTGGGAAATTACTCACAAGATCTTGTTATTGCTGTTGAGAGTAGCTCATTGTCTAATGATGTTGAACAACTGCAGACAAGAAAAGGTAATTAATATGAACAGAAATGGAAGAAAAGCTCAGAGTTAAATGTACTGAAGTCAAGAAACTCCAAGGAATCTCCATACAAAAAAAAAAAGCTTAACTCATAGTACTGTATTCATGCTACACAACTAGAGAATTATATTTCAGAGTGGGAAATGAGTGGTCTGAGCAATCACAGGTGCCATCATGGGCTATTAGTCAATACTAAAACCTAGGAGAAAATAGAAAGGCTAAATTAAAGACCTCTCAACATAATAGAAAAACAGAAAAAAACACACCTGAGGTTTGTCAAAGGTATGCCAAAAGTATGCTACACACTGTTATATGAAAAAGGAAATTATCTGTCTTTTAGAAGATCATCAGATATGGGGAAAAAATCATACTGAGAAGGTGAGTATTAGTTCCAGTATTTCAACAGATATAACAAACCAAATAAGAACACAACAAAGCACAAACCAAATAAGAACACAACAAACCTGAAGGACTGGAATGTTATTAGATGTGCACCTAAAAAACATTATTCTGGAGCAAGAAGTATTTAATACTTTCATTATTGACTTTGGAAACAATCAATAGAAATGCTCAACTCAAAGTTACTGATCACATGGAGCCAGGGAGCTCTGGCCCTGCTGAGGAAGGCAGGAGTATTGCACAGGAATGACCTTAACAGCATTCAGCTGCATGGACAGCAATACATCAGCAAGTGAAAAACAGAATTTCCCTTCCAAGCTCACAGACTGTGATTTATGCAAAAAATTAGGAAAATGAGCATGGTATTATATTTGATCACAGCCAGCACTTAAAAAAACCAAATGCAACCTCTCCAGGCTTCAGGCAATGTAGAAAAGGGAATTACTGAAACTATTGCACCATGCCCTAATATTAATGCACCTGAGGCCATGTAGGTAAATTCTCATCACTGACATTCAAGAAAGGTAAAAAACTGGAAAACATACAAAGAAGGTCTATTCAGATGATAAGAGGAATAGGCAGCCTCTCTTATGAGAGAAAATTAAGACAACTTGGCTTATTAACTTCCAAAGTCTAGGCCAGCCTGTATGTGTTCAATTATTTTATGTGTGTTTGGTAGCAAAGGCAGCAAAGAGCTCAGCACAGCCATCAGTGCAATTGAAAAGTGGGAGAATGTTTGAAACTAATACAGCAGCGGAGTCCTGGCCCAATGTTCCAGCAGGGACATCAGATCTATAAACAGAATTACAGTCGTGCAGCTGTCTGCCACGGCAAGGGAGTAGAATCAGTGAGCCCAGGCTCTCGTTTTTGTCAGAGTTTTCTGCCCAGCAGAGGCTCGAGCACAGGCACTGCTGCAGCCGGTGGCTCTGGCTGCGAGCAGCACCGCGGTGCCCAGCGCCGGGACGCCGCTGCACGAGGCCAGGGGCACAGCAGAGCTCTGCCACTCAGCACACACCGCCCACCACAACCTGATGCCAGGCCCCAAACCAGACTTGCTGATGTAAATTGAATGCACAAGTTGTCACGGATTTTGGATGCATTGAGAGGACTTGTGCAAGACGGTTTCCTTCAATGATTTTGATCCTTTAATTTCACTTTTTAATCACAGTATCAGTTGCAATGGTTTTCCTTTCTTTTGAATTAATGACGGAAATCATCATTTTCCTCTGACATAAGACATTAGAAATAATAAAGGAATACTAGGAATTATTCTACATATTGAGAAGATGAATTTTGCAGTTATATTATTTTAAAAGAACTTGTCTTAATAAACTGTTTTGTGGTCTGTTTGGAGCAAATCCATTAATTCTAGCTCTATTTTTCCCTGTCTACACTAAAAGGGATACAAACTTATTGCAGTGCCATGACCTTCATTAAAAACAAAGCAGCCTGCGTATTTTTGTTCACTTTTTCCAGGACATAAAAAGCCCCAGTGAAAAGAGCTGATGCATTGTGCTGCCTGTGCTTTCTATGGAACTTCCTAGCAGGGATCAATGAGGGGAAAAAAGTGTTCAGGGTTGGCTTGATTCAACGTATGAACCAGAGATCCTTCTAAAGTAGAGGCACAAATCTTGATGCAGTTATTCGCTTTAGCCATTGGTTACATATGATCCCACAGAATTAATATGATGCAAAACTAAAGGAGTTTATCTTAGTTATGTTTTCAAAACTGTCTCAGCCTTTGAAATGTCACTGTTTTATTAAAAGAGAGGATTAAGAAAAAGTTACTATTCTTTATACTGTTTCAAATACTCTGGAAAGCTGCTTCAAAGTTTCAAAACCCTGCTCCAGGCCCCCAGCTCTGTTTTATATCTCACAGAACCGTCCCGAGGTCCTTCGTAAACACTTTGATTTTCTATGATAATGAATGAGAAATGAAATGAGACACTTGTTCTCAGTGATGCTCTTTGATATTTATAAAGTGGCATTATTAATTTCACAGGTTATGTAGTCTTTGTAGAGAAGTGGGTTTAATTTAACTTCCTATAAGTGACAAGAAAAGATAGAAAGCAATTGACAGAGATGGGAGATTATTTAGAGGATATTTGAAAATTAGCTTTCTGATAATTATCATATGACCCCAAGTTAAACAAGAGTTTCCCATAACACATCTGGGTCATTTAATTTCACAAGTTAACATAAACATTAACAATGCATCTGTCTTTTGATGACCTAGTAACTTGCTCCCTGCATCTTTCGAATGAAATGAAACAGCATATGGGGTAAGAGAAAACCAAGATGAGTTACAAACAGCGAACAAGTCAAGGTACCTTTTCAGCATTTAGACTTCTCTTAAATCTTCAGCATTTATACTTCTCATCTAGTCAACTAATAAGATATTATATTTTTTCCTGTGAGCAACAAAGAAGAGGCAAGGTGACAAAAGTATTATATATACAATTACCAAGCCTAAAAGCCAGAACACTTCAGGAGATACACAGTATACTGCAGATTCATTCATATAATCTGAATAGGAAAACTCAGATGTTACTGTTTTGTGTGAAAAATGCCTCTTCTATTTTTCACTTTTTTTTGCCCTCCAAATTGGATGAATTTTATTCACTCTAAAGCTGAGAAAAAAACCCTGTGACATAGGACTTACATTAATTTCAGTATATCTTCTCTTGAAATTGTCTCTACTGATAATGTGTTCTAGAAACAGAAATACAAGTTGACAAACTATAATAAAAGTCAAACAAAGTCAATCTGCAGTGGTGTTTATAATATTCATTGGATTTTGTCAGTTCTTCAGTTTACAGCAGTCCCTTAAAAGACTTTATCTTTTATGTGTGAAGCCATGTGAAAGGCTTTATTTCTAGCTTAAAGCACTTTTTACTTTTAAGATAAATAAAAAAGGGACCATCACCTCAATCTATTGAGATAGGGAGTACTTTTTTTCTTCCTCTCTCAGATCACTGAATTTATTTTTGTGTCTAACTTAAACATGAAATTTTAGTGGGAAGGTCTTAAGACCTGTCAGGACAGCTAAGTAAGTAGCATATTGCTTAGCAGCTTCATGTCCTACAGGCTTAAAAACTTTTATGAGTAATTGGGTAAAAAAACTTTTTCAGAGCTGTACTGTTTTTTTTTTCCTGGCAGAACCATAAATAAAGATAATTTCCAGTTCAATACTGGGACATCTATATGTACTGATTTTTTAAAAGGTGGAAAGACCACCACAAAAGCTATTTCTTCTGCAAATGACACTTGTTACTTATTTCTACTTCAGTGAAAATTTGTATGAAACGTGGCCAGAAACAGAGTTTTATGTATAAGCAATATGTCATCTTCTGAATATAAGAGATAATACTCTTAAGAAAAACACAGTAATTTTTTGTGTATCTTATAATTTTCCTTAGGTGTCCCATCACAAAAAAACAATTCTAATGTAATGACTAGCCAGGATTTTCATAAGCTTTGACTATACAATAATCAGTTCATAATTCAAGCAAAAATATTATTAGACAGGAATCCTGGTAATGTGTCACATAGGCCAAATGATCTTGTTTCTATCAAATACTCTACTCCATCCTTGTCTATTTGTTGGTTATCAACATTTAGAAAATGGAGGATATTTTTATTGGGGTTCTTCTGTTGGAAAAAATTAAACAGCTTGCTGCCTTTTAAAGTCTTAATTTTGATTTAATATTGTCTTGTGTCTGACTTATGATAGAATGTCAAAGAAATGTGCTTGAGGAACACATTCTGACAATATCAAGACATTGCATCTAACTTTACAATACACTAATGGCTTGCAGACAACTTCTCCTTCTTTGTTTATTATGCAAGGAAGTGGCTGTCTTCTCATGGGACTCTGGCCCATCTGTTAGACAGCCAGCAAGATCAGCAACAGAGCTGTTTTCTTAGATTAAAAATGGCAAGACATTATTTTCTAGTATTCTTTCCTACATCTTTCAACAGTGATTGACAACACTTCACCAAATTGGGCCAAAATTATCCCAGCAAGTTAAAAATATACAGGGCATAAATACCAAATAAAAAATCACAAGAGAACCAGTTTGGAAAACTTCAAAACTGAATTTGCAAACTCTGCTCAGCAGTATGGAGAGCTTAACTAAAGGAAATAATTCATTTATCAGTTAAGAGATATTTATAAAGCACAGCTGGACAAGACTTTAAACAGAGGATCAGCCACAGCTAAAAGTCTCGAAAGAGAAATCTTTTGGCAGCAAGTGGGTTTTCAAAAGCTTAAATTTCTTAACATGAGAGCAGAGCTGCATTCACTCTGTGGAACATCACTGTCTCAAAAGAAATTACCTCCTCCATTTTCAAGAAGATCCTGTGATGTGGAAAGTAAGGATGACTGTACTACACTGGCCCATGAAGTTGGAAAGTTATTCTTTTATGAAGTTGGAAAGTTATTCTCTGTAGCTCACCTCATAATTTGTACAATGGGAACACCAATACTGTTTTCAATAGAGAGATTTTGGGAACTGTTAAAAATCTAGAGATGGCAAGGCATCAAAAGGGATCAAACAAATATTTGAGAAGTATCTATAGCAAATGTCCTTAAGATTACAGCAGAATAAGAAACAAAAAGATGATGTGAGATCAACTGTGTAAAGACCTACATGGAAAAGCACCTAAATGCTTCCTTGCTGATTCTTATCCAGATTCATGTTTTATCTTGTGCTTAAATCCTTTCTTAACAGATACAGTTTTTCTGAATAAACTTCACATTTACCAAATGAGTCCTGAAGTTTTAGCAAGAACAACTTGAAATAATTTGAACATAGCATAATTCTTCATTCAACCATTTTAGAAGAGCATGGGTGTGGTCAGGCTACTGTTCATGCAAACTTTCATTTCTTTCAGGTTTCAGTAGTGCAAGCACTCAAATGCTTATGGGAAAGCAGGGTGCATACTTTCTTATACCTAACAAAACCTGTTCTTGAAAGACCTAGGTCTGCAATATTATCTGATTTCCTACAACATTTAATGATGAATTTAATGATAATTGGTCAAGAAGAAGTTAGTACTGACTGGAAGAAGCCAATTCTAATGTGTGTTGACTGAGCTAGAAGCAATGTCTTATGGCACTCATACAGAATATGGGAATTTCAGACAGTGAAGTTTAATGAACTAATTCATGAATAAAGAACAAAGATAAAAATATTTTCTGCAGGGCTTTGAAAGCAAATCTGGAGAAAATTTCAAGAATATAAATGCAGGACCAGCAAGGCAGTAGGCTGGATGTACTCATCATCTGTGGGGGCATAATCATCATATATAAGCTGTGATGTGATGCAAATTGCAGAATTCCATCTGAAAAATTAAAATCAAAACCACACATAGCCAGCACCTGACAGGAACTGAAGGAAGATGAAAGAAAAGAGTAAGCAACTTTCCTGATCTCCTCTTCCACCACAGCCCCAGTGCTCCTGCTTTCCTCTTTCCAGCTACAGTTCAACTCCCTGACTTTCACTTGGGGAAGTTCCCAAAACACAGACCACAGCATCCCTCGAGTGCAATGAAGAGGAAGATAAGCAAACAGAAGGCATGTGATGAAGGTAGAGCTCCATGAGAAATGTAGATGAGCAAAAGTTTAACTGGGAATGAGCACAATGCATCAATAGATATGATCACCACGTTGGTACTTGCCATAACCATGTGCCAAGGTTTAGTTCAAATATTTATGCAGAAATATTCGACAAGAGAGATGTTCTGCAGTCACTACACCAAGCAGTAGGGGACATCACCTGGAACCATAGCAACAGGCATGGAAGACAGAGAGTGGAAAATGGGAACTGAAAGCACTCAGTTTGGTAATAGATACACACTTTGATCATGAAAATATCTCCAGAATAAACAACAAGGACTGTACTAAACCCAGGGCCTCAGGCAGAGCCTTCCAGCCCTGGAAGTTCTCTGCACAGAGTTTATCTTGGGTTACCAAGGGGTTTTTATGAACACACAATAAATTTGTACTTGGTCCCCTTTACCATGTGTCCTTTCTCAATGGCATGCTCTGATTTTGCAGGATAGATTAGGAGTGTATTTCTGTGAATTCCTTCCTGCTGGAGCAAGAGTACATAAAGATCTTCCTTGGTGCACAGGCTTCAGGCCATCACCCTTTAGCTGCCCTGAGCAACTCTGGGGGCAAAGCTGCTGGAATCACACACTGCTCATGGCACAAAAACAGCATTTGAGGAAGAAAGAAACCCATTTTTTAATTGGCACAGAGACTGCCTATTAGCTGGCCACATGTGCATCTCATGCCATTGTAAAGATTGCTGAAAATAAGATTGATACTTCATCCTTTCCTTTGATCCTGCAAAAGGTAAGCTGATTTGAGTAGCCCCAAATCATCTTGTTAACCAACTCTGTATTTTTGGTGTTAGTTGGGCTTGACATTGCTCCTGAAAGCATGAACCAGAGCTAGCAGAGACAGTAGTTGTTTTAGCATGTAAGTACATTTGGAATCAAGGCTTTGGCATCTCTTTCATCAGGAAACCTATTCTAAGGAATGCTGCTCTTATCTAGCAGATGTTCTGCTAAAGAATTTGCTTTGTCCTTCACAAAATATGGCTCAGAGCCCATATACACTCTACAGTGGAGATAAAAGTATTTTTTTTAAGGTAATGAGTGTAAGTCTCTTTCCCCACAGAAAGATCTTTATGAATCTTTGATTGTGAAGAAATAAGCATTTCCCAATGAGGATCCAGAATGTCACTTGTAAACAGTTCATATTTGGATTAAATTTTTACTACATAAATTACTTTTTCCTTAACTGAAAGATTGAAGTTGGATGTGTAAATGGATAATGAAAAAATTAGCTGAGTAAAAAGTTTGCAAGAAATGGCTTTTTAAACTGATTTAATCCCTTTCTCTGCTCAGAAATGATCTACAGCCAGTCTTTTGTTATTAATTCCTTTGGTACTCATCTTTGTTAGTCAAAAGTTTTGTGCAAACAAATTTCTCCCTACTCATTGCACACCAAATGCTGACTGTAAGTGTTCTCTTTAGCATTTTAATATGCTCACCACTTGATAGGTTCAAGCTGTGCAATTGGGTGTCTAAGTCACATGGTGTTGTTTATGTTCTCAGAATGCTTTTGCCCCTAATGATTTTCATATGGTTGAGACATAAATTTTGTTTTATGATTAAATGAAACTTGGCTTAGAGGAGCCAAAATTAATTTTTCAGGAGCATTTTGTACAAACAAAACTCCACTGATATAAACACATTAAAAAAGGGTTGTGAGCACAGCCAGAGGGAAAAAAAAATCTATTTAGAAGATGCCAAAGTGCAAGAATATTTTTTGTCCAACAGCCATTTTTGTTCTTATCAGTGCCTAAATGCCATAAATTGCAAACTTTCTTGATTCAGTATGAGTTTGTATGTAATCTGTGGGTTTTACATAATATAAACCTTCACATAGAGTAATTTTACTAAAAATGTGAAGAAAAATATATCATTTCACACCAGTATTTGTGCATAAGTATTTCCAGAGCCAGCTGTGCTTCTGCCAAATCTACACAAAAAATAATTTTTTTTATTTCCACTCTCCTAGGAAAGCAGCTTTCTTTAAAACAAGCCTTCACAATACATGTTGTTTGCTACCATTTCAAGGCCTGCTACACTAATGGAAAAGAATGTGCTAAATGTAGCATTATCATGCAGGTCAGGCAGGGCAGCCCGGTACACATTTTCCCACAATCTCTGCTCATTAACATCTAGTTCCCCCATTGTGCAGATTTTTGGCTCTGTTCCATCAGAGCAGAGAAGAAAAATGTTTACAATATGCAAACTTGGAGGGACACAAAAAAAAAAAGGGGGGGGGGGGGGCTTTGAAATGTCAGTCCTTTGGGATGAAAAGTTTCAAAGGGGAAGGTAAGTCAAAGGTTACTAATGGGATGTCTGCAACACCTGCTTTCAGAGGAGGTTTCATAAACAATCTTTACTTCTCAAGAACAGTTTGGCCTAGACAAAAATACCAGCTAAAATATCTGTGGCTGGCTTGAGCAGCCTGGTACCTATGAACAGAAAGGTCAGGTTTGTTATAACCTAACATGGCCTTTCACCCTGCTTTTATTGGTAGAATGAGATTGCCTTGGTGGCCAACATTGCTTTTCACGTGCTGAAGCGGAAGGCACTGGACGTGGCGCACTCAGCCTCTGCAGGCGAGGAGGAGGATGAGGAGGAGGAGGGGGAGGAGGAAGGTGATGCTCAGCATCACTGCTGTAGAAAGCCCTGCTCTCTGAAGAAGAGCCAAATTGCTGCACGTGGGAGTGAGTTCTGCAAATTTCAGAAGTTTCCCAGCTCAGCTAAATGCTCCTCATGAGGTGCTTTTGGTAATTGTGGGTAAGTTTCATAACCGTCATAACAACTCAGAAACCTTCAGTACTAATTCTCCCCTGAAACGATCAATGCATATTTCTAAGATTTTAACATGGAGAAGGCAAGAGAAGTGAAATCCTGCTAAACATTCATCAGATCACTACAGGACCTTAAACATAGCCTTTACATACATCTTTTACTGAGAAAACATTCCTGAAACTGAAAAGCATTACCTTCCTCTCAAAGACAGTGACTCAGGAACAGGGTTGCCTAAAATGCTTGTCCAACGCCAGAGAGACCCTGCAGCAAAACTGGCATCCAAGTCGCCAGAAAGAACTTCAGGGCACTCCCCAAGACATCATCCTTGTTGTCCTGCAAAAAAAGAGCAGCAGCTTCTAAAAAAATTCAAAAAATTCCATTTTTGTATAGAAGGAAGGAGAAATCAGCATGATAGATAAAGCCACAAATTGGTACTTTGATGTGATTATACATGAAAACTATAACCCATAAAACTTTCTCACTTTTTATAACAGAGCTAATTACATTTACAGGAAGTTGTATTGCAACAACAAAAAGGATGACATTTCCTCCACAGTAAAATATTATCAAGTGTTATTTGCTCTCCTGTTATATTATCATATAAAATTTCTGATCAATAGCAACCAATACAATTGCATCAGCAGGAACTCCGTTATTAACCATTACCAAATCAAGTCCATTTTAACACTCTTTTTATCCCCAAAGTTGGAAAGAAAAAGCGCCAAGATGATGAAGATGATGGTAAGCATTACAATACATACAGGCACAGACAGAATTCCAGGAAGTTTTAGGGAAAATGGCTTTTAGGCTTTACTGTACTTTACAGTTTGTGGAACATGCATGTTTGCCACAGGTGACAGGAAATCAAATCTGATCTGGTTAATTCACATGAGCTTCATTTTCAGAATGATAATCCCTGTTTCTCCAGAGAATTTCTGCCAGCACCTCATATGCCATGCAGGACATATCCACCTGTAGAGGACACAAATGCAGCATGAAGTTTTTAAGAGAAATACCAAATGTATTTCTACACATGCATTTATTCAGAGAGAAATTTTTCTATTCAATAACTTTTTGTGAGCTGTAACTGTCCTAAAAAAGAGATAAAGTACCCTAATGTGGATACATCTTCGTGGTAATGATGACTCAGTCACATCATGTCTAAACTGGATTGTATCTGGCCAGCATAGGTAGAACACAGAATACGTCAGGATTAACTGTCATGCAGAATTTAGTATCTTTAAAAAAAAAAAAAAATCAGACAATGGATGCTTTTAATGTAGTTTAGAAATGAGAGAAGCCATTTGTTTCATGTGAAAACTGAAAGCTGGACAGCAAAGTAAACATAGAGAGTGCACTCTGTATGCCTTACAAATATAATCTAAGTTTATTTATAAATATACAAGAAGCTGAGAAATGTCTTCAATAAACTATTTGCATTTTTCATTTTTCTTGTTTGCAGATATGCAACTTTAGAACTTCATCTGGAGAGCTTAAGATAGTTTAGATATGTTTGTAAGGATGACCCTGCTTATTTCACAGTTTTCCTTCCCATGAATTCACTGAGCTTTCAATGCATTCAGTGGAGCTGTATCTTTTTACACTGCACTGAGACCAGATTAGGCCCTTTTGTAAATTCTATGTCAAGAAACATTTTTTAGTCAAATGTAAGCCTTTAAAGCAAAGGTTCTGCTTTTGGTTTACATAATGATATGCTAGGGAAAATAGCTTTCCTATTTTATATTCCTTCCCTTATTCTCATACCGCCCATGACTCTTCTCTTTATGTGCTGCTTTAGATCTTTCCTTCTTGCTGTTCTTAGTAGAAACCACATTTCATTTGTGCCCTTGGAACAACATATCAATGTGTTCAAACTTCCTGCTTTTTGACTGGAAAAGCATTCAGAATTTCTGGTAGGACTTTCAGCTGGCCAGATGGCTGAACAGCTCGCATTAACTTCTGCACAATGATGGGAGGAAGAACAGAAGAACCAGCACTGGCTCCATCACTGTCTGCTCTGCAGGACCCTCAGCATAAGGAATCACTGTGTTTTGGCCCAGGTTGTTACAAGGAAGTCAGGTACTGGTGTACAAGCATTACATCAGATGATCCCATACTTGACCAATGCCATTCCTTTCACTGTGTAACAAACAGACCAATTAAAAAAGATTCAAACACCAATTTAAATGCTCAGAAATGAAAGCACAAACACCTGGGAGTATCAGTGTGATGCCAGATAACTACCACTTGGGCTTTCTTCAAACCTTTAGGGTTTAATATACTGTGCATAATAGAAATGCTGACATATCACTAGTTTTTTTGCGTACAACTACTCAGAACTAAAAATTACTACTTGAGCAGTCAGGAGCATTACCTATTTTCTTATCATATTCAGCATCTGAGCAATATTCATCTGCATCAGTTCTTTCAGTAACCTGTTTCCCTCTTCAGTACTGGATTTTTTTTTTGCAACAAATCACTCTGCAAGGGTAATTTTAGGGCTCTGGAAAGGGGCCTAGCAGAGAAACATGAATATGTGGTATGGGAAGCCCACCTCCCTTAGGGCAAAAATCTCAGCTAAAGCACCTTGGCAGCACATTAATAGCTATAAAAGACTCTTTCTTTGCTGACCACAAATATGCTGTGGTCAACAAGAGGTCTACTCACTGTTTTGTTAAAAACACTGATGATTTATTTTGCTTCAGCCATGTGTGAAACTAGTCACCACATTGTGAATAATAATATCCTCTTAGTCTCAATGGAGCTCTTTTCATACAGAAAGACCCGCAAAGCATTTAGCTAAATACTTGATATGGCAATCCACTGGCTGACCACTAAAATATAGCCATATCTGGGATGGAACAGTGCAGTTATACAACAATGCATGGCAGCAGAAGAGACAGAGTAGAAAAAAGAATCCATTAGGAACCAAAGCAAGAGCTGGAGTAAAATATAACTATGTCAATTAAGCATGAGCAGCAAATAGAGCTAAAATTATAAATTTGAAGAGCACCCTGGAATCTGTGGCTACAGGAAAAGAAGAGTTTATACAGTTCCTTGAGAGGATGAACTCCAACTGCACAGTGCCCTCTACTGTGAGATGAAATCCATAGAGGCTCAGAGGGGAAAAAATTATGTATTAAATCACTTCGCCTGCTTGGTTTTTGCAGCTCTATTCTGAGGTTGTAAAACCTAGGAATGACTGAACTTGGCATGCAGGATCAAGCTGGAGTGGTCTGCTCTGTGCAGGACAGCTTGGCATCTGCTCAACTTGCTCTCCATAACACTTTCCAAAATGGCAAATGGGAGGAGTACTAGAAGATATAGTGATTAAGTGACTTTAAACATCTACAGTTCTAGTAGTTTTGGAATTGAGTGTTATCCATCTCATTAACAGTTTGAAATACAGGCAAAATTACAGAACCCTTTTTTTTTTTCTTCTTTTTTGCACCTTTGAGAGGCAAACAATGCCCAGTTGGCTAGGTCTTGGTGGATGAAAAAAACAATATCACTTCAGGGAAAATAATAATAATTAAAAAATAAAAAAACCTCATATCATATTTTTGTATCTGATGCTGAAACATATTAATACTAAAGTTATAACAGTCCACCTATATTTCTGATGTATAAAATAGCTCTTACTTCACTAGGGCATGCTATTTTGCTCTTCTAAAGCATCGTAAATATTTTCTACTGAGTTGGATACATAGCAAGCTAAACTCATTGGGTTTCCAACAGGGCACATGAAGAGACTGAGGAAGGTTTAAGCACAGGAAACATCTCAGGTGACCAAAAGAAAGAACAGTTAGTTCAGCAGCAAAGGGCAGATCCTGTGACAAATCACACCTCTGTTCAGGCAGCTCATTTGAGCCCTACAGTGGTTTCTTGTGGTAAACCTTGGCAGGAATTTTATTTCCCCTACACCCCAAACACACACACACTCTGCCTCAAGAGCTGGGAGATCCCAAGAGATTTGCAGCTGGTGTAATGTTTTTCCCTACCACCTTCTAGCAACCTGCAGGAAACAAAGCTTCTTCAGGGAGTTTGGTTCATTAGAAAGCTGCCTTTAACTCCATCCTAAGACACAGTTCTTTTACCCTTTTATTCTCCAAAATAAACATAAAACAAGTTTGTGAACACCCATTCATTCCAGAACAGACATCCACATGAGCATGGACAGGACAAAGCTGCGGTGAAGGGCAGCAGGGCTGAATGTCCTACTGAAAGTATTCAAACCAGACATTGGAGAGAATGGAATACCAATCTGTACAGAGCAAAAACAAATTTCAGAACAAATATTGTGGAAGAGGGGAAACACCCAGAAGTGGTCTCTCTTTCAGAGCCCTCTGCCCACCAGGTGGGGCACAAATTACTTGCCCAGAGTTCTGCACAGTCCTTTGGTGCTTTTAAGTGCCAGGCTGAGCAAGTCACTTGTTGGATTTCAGTTGCCAGAAGACTCCTGAGCCACACTTTATATGCATCTAACAGAAGGAGATGCATAAGTTGCAGTTCAGTCCTAAAAACTTACCTTTGTACATATCCTTTTCTGTGCATTGTGGGTTTCTCAGCAAATATCATTACTTTAAAGTTTCAAAACAAGTGAAACTCAAAGTAAAATTGAGTAAAATTGAAAGGAATCAAAGCAAATAAAAAGAAAATCTGGAGAGCAGTAAGGAATTATTTGGAAATATGATTGTTTTCCTAGTTGTGGAGTTTCCCTATGAGAGTCCAAAGAGGATTTCAAGATGTATATAACCTGTACATTTCAAGGAGTGTTTTTAGCAATCTAGTCATATGTAGGGGCAGTGATTTTGCTGGAGATGGGGAATAGGCAGGGGAGATGGTAAACAGCCCAGTTCTGAAAGCCACCTGTTGTATCCCTCTCTAGCACACATCCAGACATTGCTGCTGCTGTCTGTATGCAAAATGTTTAAAACCATTCTTCTCCCCTTTGTCTTTTTTTTTTTTTTTTTTTTTTTTTTTTTAAATCTTTGAAAAGTCTTTGTGTTGTGGCAGGGAAATATAGAGCTGGGGTAATGCAGAGAAAGAGGAAAATTTCTATATATGCTCTATATAAATAATTTCAAAAGGTGAGATTACAGCTTGCTTTAGTTTGAAAGGAACAATGTTTTGTACTTCCTGCTCTTTTGAGAAATCAGACCTCCTTTAACATGCTCAACCAAGATCCCTTTTAAAATTCTAGACTGTACATAAATTTTATATGTAAAATCACTGTCA